TCTTGTGTCCTTCGGCAGCTCTTTGGTCTTTACCATAGTGGAGTTTGGAGTGTGACTGTTTGAGGTTGTGGACAGGTGTCTTTTATACTGATAACAAGTTCAAACAGGTGCCATTGATACAGGTAATGAGTGCAGGACAGAGGAGCCTCTTAAAGAAGAAGGTACAGGTCTGTGAGAGCCAGAAATCTTGCTTGTTTGTAGGTGACCAAATACTTATTTTCCACCATAGTTTGCAAATAAATTCTTTCCAAATCAGCCATTGTGATTGTCTGGATTTTTTTTCTCATTTTGTCTCTCATAGTTGAGGTCTACCTATGATGCCAATTACAGGCCTCGCTCATCTTTTTAAGTGGGAAAACTTGCACATTTGGTGGCTGACTAAATACTTTTTTGCCCCACTGTACATACATACATATACACACACACACGCCTTTTTGCACCTCCCTTTCTTCAGGTGTTCAACACTTTTTTCCTGTGTCATTTCAATTTTATTACACGTAATTTAATTTCTGAACTTGTTTGTTTTGGTTTCTTTTGTATGCATGGATTGCATAGGTTATTACCGACATGTGGTGAAAATTTAATGTCAATAGCACCTTTAAAAATATATTTACTGAGAAAAATGGTGACATGTTCATTACTTATTTTACCTGCTGTAAATATATACACACACACACACACACACACACACACACACACACACACACACACACACACCATTTTGACCACTGACAGGTGTTGAGTGCTTACAATGGGCACGTGAGCATCAGAACTGACCTCTGAGAAATGGAAGAAGGTGTTCCACTCTGATGAATCCTGTTTTACTTTACATCATGTGGATGGCTGGGTACATGTGCGTCACTTAACTGGGGAAGAGATGACACCAGAATGCAGTATGGGAAGTCAGCAAGCTAGCAAAGGCTAGATGTTCTGCTGGGTTTTGCTATTCATGCGGATATTATTTTGACACGTACCACTTACCTAAACACTGATTCTGACCAAGCACACACCCTTTTAGGTATACAGTATTCACAGATGCGAGTTCTTCTGACCACATGGCCACATTTGATGTATGCTTGTTACAGATCAGTAACCTAAAAATACTGAAGTCAAATGCAGCCAAACAAGCATTTTCATTAGGCTGTCAGCAATGGCAGCCTGTTTTTCATAGTGCAGTTTTCCTATAAAGCAGAACGCCTGTTTCTGAAAAAAAGAACAAGCTATTACCTGTTAACTGCATTTCCAAGAATTTTCCAGGACAGCTACTCAAGAGATAGGCTCCTCCCACCTAAACAGGAAACACATGATCCACAATTCTTAAAAAGGACACACCAATGATGGTCCCTCAGTACACAGAAAATTACCAAAGGCTGCAATGGACCATATAAACATAAAATTACTTGACATTATTACCCAACTACTATTGGAAATATCCCCAGCCAAATGATAGGGAGGGAACTGATGCGGTCCTGGAAGATTCCTGGAAACACAGTTAACAGGTAATAACTAATCATTTTCCAGGACAGCTACTCAAGAGAATAGGCTAGTATTACCTGCTCAGGGTGGGACTCCTGCTTCAAGACCTTCCTTTCTGAAATTTTGGTCTGCTTTAGACAGAAGTTCCAGCCGATAATGTTTCGCAAAGGTGAGGAAGCTTGACCAAGTGGCTGCCCTGCAGATCTGGCTAGGAGAGGCACCTGCTTTTTCCACCCAGGAAGCAGCCATTGCTCAGGCAGGATGAGCCCTGATACCCCCCAGGAGGAATAAGGGACTGAATTCTGTAGCTTTCTTCTATAGCTTGCTTCATCCATCTAGCTACAGTATTTATTGAAGCTTTGTTGACCTGTTTAGACCCGTTGAACAAGAAAAATAGATAGGAAGATTTTCTCCTGTCTTTTGCTCTTTCAATGTATGTGATTAAACATCTTCTTACATCTAATTTGTTAAGATCGGTTTCTTTTTGAATCTTGCGGTTGACGTAAAAAGAAGAAATAATTTATTCAGACCTATGGAACTTCAATACAACTTTGGGGAGGAAGGCTGGGCCTAAAGAAAGCACAATTCTGTCCATAAAGATAGAACAGTATGGCTTTGCTACCAAAAGTGCCTGTATTTCTCCTATTCTTGCGGTTCAGAAGGGGCTTTTTGATAACCTTTGAGGACGGTCTATGAATCCCATGAAGGAAACATCATCCTGTGCGGAGCCCTCTTTCTTGAAAATGACAGCAGGAATCGTCTGATTAAGGGAACCTCTGCTAGCCGAATTTCTAGAAAATTGGAGAGGACCGCTACCTGCACCCTGAGAGTGCTTGCGGCTAAATTTATGTCAGCCCCGTCCTGCAAGAATTCAAGAACAGAATTATTCACAGAGTTGCTGCTTTGGTTCTTATCCCTTCTACATGCTGAGAATTTTTTCCAGATTTTCCCATAAATATCATCATTAGAGTTCTTACTTGCCAGAATGGTATTTATTACTTTGGGCAAAAGTCCTTTCTTTTGCAAGAGATCCCTTTCAGTAGCCACACTGAAAGGTAAAGTCTCTCTACTGTTGGGTGGTGTATTCCCACCTGATGAATAAGGTCTGACCTTTGTGGTAACCTCCAGGGAGGCTCCAAGCTCAGATTGTATAGACCCGAGAACCAAGGTCTCTTGGGCCAGAAAGGTGCCACCAGGACAATCTTGGCATTTGACCTCCGTATCTTTTGGATTACCCTGGGGATTAAATGGATCGGAGGAAAGGTGTATAGAAGTTCCAGTTCCTGAGCCAGACTGCGACTACCCCTTTGTAGGGAGCAATATATTTCTACTTTTTTGTTGTTCCCATAGGCGAAGAGGTCGATCTGCAGAGTAGCCCCATTTCTGGCATATCTGTAGAAAGACCTCTTGGTTTAGGCACCACTCTGTTTGCCTCAGTTGATATCAGCAGGGATTTGAATGTCACTAGAGCTTCCCATATTGCTTTTAGCTCCCTGACGTTCAAGGAACAGGATGCCAACCATTGATTCCATCCTCCCTGTGCAAGACATTCATCCAGGTGAGCACCCCAGCCTCGCCACCCCAGGCACTTGCATCCGTAATAATTTTTACGGGGTTCGTTTGTCGCCATGCTCGACCTGTTGTCAAAACCTGCAGGGAGAGCCACCACGTGATGGAATTCTTCACAGACTCTGGGATGCATATCTTTGCATGCAGAGATTGCTGGAGATTGCTGAAGGCTGTCCCACTTTCACAGTGTAGTTCTGTAAGGGTCTTGAGTGTAACTGGGCCCTTTGAACTGCAGGGATTGCTGCCGTCATCCAGCTGATCAGTCTGATGGCTTCTCTTATTGAGCATTCTGTTGATAGCAAAAACTCCACTATCCCTTGCTGAAGGTTCTGGGCCTTCTCCTCCATCAGGATAATCCTTACATTTTGTGTATTCAGAATGTAACCCAATCTCTTTGATGGTATCAACAGACTTCTCTACATTTACAATACAGCCTGTCTCCTGGAGTTAAGCTTTCACTATCTCCAGATTTCTTGTTGTTCAGGCTGCTGTGTCCACGAAGATCAGGAGATCGTCTAAATATGGGATCACTTCCAAATCCTTAAATCTTAGATTCCTCAGGATTGCTGCCAGCACTTTGGTAAAAATTTGTGGTGCTGAAGAGAGCCCAAATGGAAAGGCATTGAACTGAAAACATATCCCAGCGGGCCTTTTCATGGCGAAACGTAGATATTTCTTTGATTCTTCCCTGATGGGAATGTGCAGGTAAGCATCTTTCAAGTCTAGTGATACCATAAAGGAGCCCCCAGGATCAATTCCTTGATCGAATAAATCAACTCCATCCTGAACTTTTTGCACTGGATGTAAATGAATTATAGATATACATTTATTAGAGTTGTATTAAACTGTGATTAAAGTAGTATATATCTAATATTCTATCCAACAGTTAGTCCAGTTAGAGGTCTTTTCATCTAGCTTTAACTCTTATGTTTCTTATAGATATCTTTGTATGGAGCAACATGACTATCTTGTGACTTGTCTATGTGACCCATTTTGTATAGGCTATTTATAACGTAATTTGTACGATTAACTTATCATGAATAGCTAATTTCATGTATAGACTAGTTCAGCACCATATGATAAGTTTGTGAAGAGAAACCATTGCATCGACTATGTAAGGTCTTCCCCCGTACATAACTTTATGAAGACCATCATATATTAACTGATTGTAATGTATCATAAGGATTGTCATATGACCAATGCATGACTTATGTAACGTAATGTTTCTATGACTTGAAGAAGGCTATTGTTCTACATTGCTTATGTAACTCACCACTATAAATTCAGTGCTGAAGAAATAAAGCTTCAGTAAGTTACAGACACTCTGAGTTGCATGCTATATATGTTCCCCTATGTGATGTCATAAGAGCCACCAGACAAACTTCCACGACCGTTTACCTGTGAGCCAGCCAGGATGGTAAAAATGGAAGCCGCAAGAAACCGCTACTCTTGCAGAGGACAGGGGGAACACACACTGCCAGCAAGGTGAGACTCTATTACAGTTTATGTCCTCTATCTTCCAACCTTTCTCTAACGGTTTCCGAGGTGTACCTCAAGTCCCAGCCGGACCTTGTCTGGTGGTAATTAGGTGCACAGAGTATGAATGCATGGGAGAATGTGTGAGTTGTGGCACCACTAAAATGTGTTGAGTGAATAGAGAGTTTGCCTAGAGAAAGAGTGTAATAAATGTGAGAGAGTTTATTTTATGATAACAGTGGAGATTGGTGAGAAATAATATCGAGTGATGCTCCATTGAAATATATTGTATGTTAGATATACCGTATTTTTCGCTCCATAAGACACACTTTTTTCCTGCCCAAGAATGGAGGAAAATGTCTGTGCATCTTATGGAGCGAATATGGAGTGGCCGGACTGGTATTCCTGCCACCGCAGCCGTGTTAGAATACCGGGCCAGCCACTTGGCTCTTCTGTGCAGCAGAAACTGCTCCTCGGTCCTACCCATTCCTCGGTCCAGCGGTGTCCTCACCGTCTTCTCTCCATGGCACCGACATCTTTAGTGTGGGTACGTGGCTGTGACAGCTTGTGGCTTCAAAGTCGAGTGCCCACTGCGCATGTGCGAGAAGCGCTGAGCTTTGTGAATGGTCCGGCAGTCTTCTAGGACCTGTCACGTGTCCCAAAAGATGGGGAGGGAGGACAACTCCACGGAAGTGGGAGCGGGTACCTGTCAAATTCAGGTACCAGCTCCCCCCTCTTCCTCTCCCCAAATGTCCACAGTCTCCCGGTCATCTCCTATACTACAATGTCCGCAGTCTCCGGTCATCTCCTGTACTACTACTATGTCCGCAGTCTCCGGTCATCTCCTGTACTACTATGTCCGCAGTCTCTGGTCATCTCCTGTACTACTATGTCCGCAGTCTCCGATCATCTCCTGTACTACTATGTCCGCAGTCTCTGGTCATCTCCTGTACTACTATGTCCGCAGTCTCCGATCATCTCCTGTACTACTATGTCCGCAGTCTACGGTCATCTCCTGTACTACTATGTCCGCAGTCTCCGGTCATCTCCTGTACTACTATGTCCGCAGTCTCCGGTCATCTCCTGTACTACTATGTCCGCAGTCTCTGGTCATCTCCTGTACTACTATGTCTGCAGTCTCTGGTCATTTCCTGTACTACTATGTCTGCAGTCTCTGGTCATTTCCTGTACTATGTCTGCAGTCCATTGATTCAAAATTTTTTTTTCTTGTTTTTCTCCTCTAAAACCTAGGTGCGTCTTATGTAGTGAAAAATACGGTAAGCGTTTTTAAATCCTGATTGGCTGCAAAAGAGACCCATCCCTGGGGAAAGAGAGAGAGGGGGAGATATAAGAGATTTTGTAGTAATGATGAGACTAGCCAGTCTGTAAAATGGGGAAACCGCTTGCCTGGGGTAAGCAAAAGGGTCAGGGACCCTATGAGAACAGTCCCAGTAAAACACAAATGACAGATGTAGCTTAAGGCGTGTCATGGCTCAGCTGTCTGTAAGCCTCTCTAAAAATAGAGCAAGTGGACTAAGAAAGATAGTTGGCCAATCAGAATAGAAAAAACTTTTGATGTATTATGGTAGGAGCAGTTTATACAAGATTATGGACCACAGTTGTGTAGTGATGGCAGTTGTAGACAAGGTTAAAGGAAAGTCAGATAATGGCAGGAAAAGGACTTACTGAAATTTTTAATCCTTAAAAGGCAACTATTTTCTATGCCTGGCCTGATGAATGCATAATTCCAGAAGAGTGCCTTATACCTTTTGCATCTGCACTCACTAAAAGAGATACAAAGGTGGATGGACATCCTGAATCAGCCTCGGACAGTAAATATCAAAAGATCAATCTGGAAGGTTTGCAGTGTCAGGTTGCGCATAGAAAAATACAGTGCCCCCCTGAAGCAGAGATACCAATGGTGATGGTCCTGCTAGAAAGGGATGATTATGAGCAAGACAGAGCTGTTTTGAGCGAAAAGGGCTTAAGAGAAGCGTGTATATGAAGGAAAGTGGATGCCACAGGAGGAAGGGAGTTAGTTATTAGGGTAGGGCAAGCATGAGACAGGGAAGATGAAGAATGTCTGCAGCTGGAGACCAATGAATAGGTGAGTAGTTCTAAGACTTACTTAGAGCACAGTATATATACAAGAGGGATGAAGCGTCAGTTGAGAATGTCAGGTAGCATGTCTTGTTCTCCCCTACTGAGATCAGGTCAATATTAGAAGGATTGCTGGACCCTAAGGAAGACCTGCGGGGCTTTGCAAACAAAGGTAAGTATCATGCAGGGAGCATACAATGCTTCTGCCAAGGACTGTACTACCATTTTAAATCTTACTGTTGGAGAGGCAATGGCAAGGTCCATTATGGAACAATGTGGAGTCAAGGAAGGTGATATATCGGAGTTGGGTGGTGGAGCCTAGTTTTGTACAGCCCTAAAGAAGACGTTACCCACATTCTATGGTTCACATAGGTATACAGACTTTATGGTAGGAGCACTATTACAACTGTCCCTTCGTGTAAGCAGGCAGAAATGTTGCTACTCAAGTGTCAGCCACTGAATATTCTGAGTCAAAAACAAAGCATTTTGTTAAGAGACTCTGCACCACTCCAGAAAAGATAAAATGTTACACATGTGGACTATTTGTCCACATTGCAAGACTTTGTCCTGTTCTGGAAGGGAAGGTAGTGAAACAAAATCCACACAGAACAATGAAATGTGATATTGAGGTGTATTCAGCATTCTGAGGAATACGGCCTAGTGGTAATAAGTATGCAAAGCCTAGATCATAGGTTCCATTTCAATGTATTAAGGTAAATAATAAGAATAAGCAATTAAAAGTGGAAAGATATGGGGTTTCAAAAGAATTTCAAACTTCCAACAGATTTTATGGAAGTGGAAAGTAAAAGCAAAAGTTCAAACAGAAAAAAACATATTGATATCTTCGGTGTCTAGAGTTTGTCTTTAAGCTAGCTAATTGTGAGAGTGTGTTTGTTGTGTGAAATCCATGGAATCAATGTATTGGTGTGCTACTCTAAAGCACAGGTATCAAGGCTGACAATTACAAGCATGACTCCCACAGGCAAAAGCATGATGGGACTTGTAGTTCAGCAACAGCTGTTAGGGCCACCAGTTTGACACCCCTGAAACCTTAGAACTGCGGTCTCAGTTGCTGACAGCCCACTGACAACTGTCCCCCCTCCTTAATTGCAAGGCCTACAAGTGTATTGTACTGCTATGCAAATTTACTGAGTCAAGTTAACTTTAAAAGGGACAGTGAAATATCTGTAAAATAGTAAATTGATATGTGTAATCACTGTAATGTGTTTGTTTTTTAGAAAGGCAATTTTGAAGACTTTCATTGTGGTGAGAGTATAACATTTTGTAAATAATTGGCAACATACTTAAATTTATTTTTGAGCTGCTCAATTGAACCATGGTAAACTAACTTTTTTTGGGGTTATCATAGAATATGTACAGTATACCATAAAAATAATTTTTTAAAAATCCACATGGTAATAACTTTTCAGCTCAACAATTTTTTGGTATTAGGAAGAAAGTGCAATGTTCGAAAACAAACCAAAAAAAAGGTCCAAATACTTGTATGCATGTAGTGTACTGTAATGTATGTCCATCTTCTTGTATGCTATGTTTTGTGTCATGTATCTAACCAGTGGTTTGTGTTTAGAGGACCCCTGATGTATGTCTACTTAAATCCAGTCATCACGGTGTCTCCGAGTTTTGTTAGAGCAGTAGCAGCCTGTGCATTGTTGTTGCCGATATAGTGTTTGATTTGAAAATATGCGCTCATCTGGGTGTACTCAACTCCTACATATTTTCTTCTTTTGAGGTGAGCAGGTTTTTCAACTGGTGTGGTGGAGGATCACGGATTACTAAAGAAGAAATTCATGGAAGTGATACACGTCACTGAGGGGATTGTTTATGGACTTTTTCGTTTATCACTTGTAAATGTTTATCACAGGAGTATTTACGGTATGTTTTCTAACAATAATTTAGAGCAGTGGTTCTTAACCTTGTTGGAGGTACTGACCCCCACCAGTTTCATATGCGCATTCACCGAACCCTTCTTAATTGGAAAAATAAAATATGATTTTTCAAATTCAAAACATAGGTATATATTTATACATAGGTGCACAAAATGAACAAAACCATTAAGAACAAAGAACAAAACCATTAAAACATGATTTTCACACAAAAACAAAAACATAATAATGAATATTTACTGCACGAATCATATGAGTCGGGTGTGGGTCTTCCCCTCTGCCGAACCCGCGAGACTGACTCACCGAACCCAGGTTAAGAACCACTGATTTAGAGAGTGGAGCTACACTAGTAATTTGTGAATATGCCTTCAGAATAGCACATGACTTTGGTCCCATCTGAAAGGCCAGGAATTTCCTGACAAGTGCAGGTAAACCGGTGAGACATGCACAGCTAATTGATAGATTATTTAATGCATTCCAATTGCCTGCCAAGGTTGCCATATTGAAGCTTGAGGTGCCCACTAAAGACAGGACCTTGAAGGCCATGGGCAATGCTTTAGCAGAGAAAGCAGCCGCAGAAGCTGCTCTCATTGAGCCCAGATTGGTGGGAGTGGCGACTGGATTAGCTAAGGCCAGATGGAAGAAACAATTCAGTGTGGCTACCCGGGTACAAATGCAAACCCAGGTGACTAAATGGGAGAAGGAAAAGTGGACTAAGCTACATGCTGCACCAGATAGCCAGGGCCGCTGGACAGCTGAGACCAGGTGGTGTTTACCAAAAGCCCTCTTCCCCATGATGGCAGAGTTATGCCACAGTCCATCAATCTACTGTAAGGCAGTTATGACAGCTTTGGTGGAGGGGTTTGGATTGCCCCTGGGCTCAGCACTTATGCTGCCAAGTTTTGTACCTCATGTCTCACACGTGCCTTGTAGAACCCAAGAAAGCCTGTGCCAGTTCCACACTCCAGTACCAAAGTACCAATTTCAAAGGATTCAGATGGATTACACTCAAATGCCCAAGGTATGCATCTGAGTATGCACTTGTTTGTGTAGATCTCTTCTCGGGATGGCCTGAATCATGGCCGGTAAGTACAGCTACAGCCAAGACAACAGCCAAAAAGCTCCTTAGTGAGCTAATTTGTAGATATTCCATTCCGGAGGTGGTAGAAAGTGACAGAGGTTTACACTTCACTGGGGTGAAGAGTGTTTGAAGAGATAGCCCAGGACCTTTGAATACAACAGGCATTACATACCCCATATCATCCACAAAGTAGTGGAAAGGTGGAGAGATTATCTGTTGATATATTCACACTGGTTTAAATACAGTGAGATACAACAAGGTTTTATGGAGTTTATTGTCACATTACATGTGTTGCAGTATGTAAATTTTTTTGTTGGTTTGCGCTGCACTATTTATGTTAAAAGGTAGAGATATTAAATAGAATATTGAAAAATAAGATATCAATGTTAGTGGCAGAAACTGGGAAACCATGGACCGAATGCTTGCCAATAGGCTTTTACTCTATTCGTATGGCTCCAAGGAGACCACATAGTTTTTCTCCTTATGAAATATTGTTAGGGAGCAAACCTAGGTTGAGCCTGTACAAGCTCTACACTCAGACTTAACTGGATATGTAAAAGCTTTGCAGAGGGAATTAAACAAAACCCATGATATGGTGCATCATTCATTACATGATCCCAATTTAATTTAAAATATTTATATTTTGAAACCAGGGGATTGGGCAGTAATAAGGAGACACATCAGAAAAACTGGAAGGAAAAATTTGTGATGGATATATGTCAGTCATTGCAAAAAAGCTAATGCAATAGTAAAACGCCTGTTGTGTGTTTTCTTATTTCACTGTTATGTTTTTAAAAAAAGGTAGCCCCTCTTTATAACAGACTAATTATTAAAAAGACAAGAACCTTATAGTTATTGGTGGGGCATGGGAATAGGAGTAATGCCATGTAATTTTAGTTCAGAAAATACTGTGCTAAAAAGGAAAGAATCTATTTTTGTAGCAGGTAAGCATGGAAGGCCAAAATGTATCATATAAAATACTGGGTACAAATGATAAAATTGGTGATACAAACTACCCAACTGGAGTTA